GCAGCAGCATAGGGCTAGTGAGGAGATGGCCATACATGCTAGAAAGTACATGTGGAACTCTGTTTTGGAAAAGTGAAACTAAAACCTAAGTACAGTTTTATTAATGTGATTGTGACCTTTTTAATCATTTAAGTCTTCTACACACTTTAGGTCTGCAACTCCTTCAAAATGAAACGAGAATCTATGCAGTTTTTCCTCTTCTGTGTTCTGAGGTTATGAGCCGACCATTAATCAAGTTTGTTTTCATAATGTTCTGTATGCTAATTTAAAAAAGGGTAACCAGTTTGTCTATAAAGTATACATATACATTTTCAAAACAAATGGAATACAAGCTATATGTATTACTCTCACCACAGTGGCCCAATCTAAAAAAATAGAATGTCTCGTCACCTATTTTCTGTCTAATACTAAAAGGTGGTGTTTTGTATCATTTATAATGTTTTGAATTTGTTATAAAGGTCAATAATAGATGGTGTTTTTGTGTTCAATCACAGTATGTATTTACCATTTTATACCCCTTGTGTTTTTGGGTCCTGTTGAAATAAAATAGTCATGTTTTAAAACTTGATTTAATAAAGTCATGTCAATCATCTTTGATCCCAGTGTGACACAAACAGCTTTGTTCAGTCTCAAATAATTTATAACCTAGAGACATAATATAACTGAAGAACATGTTGTGTTGCTGTTGTGTATTGTATGTGTTGAGAATGCTGAACATTTTGTGCCTTACAATAAAGGAACTTATTTAAATTAAGCTGTATTTGTCTTTTTTAAAAGGAAAGAACAACGAGCATATATAAAAAACAAAACAATAAATCACCAACACATGTATACATAACACAAAACAAGGTTCTTTTAAATGTTTTAAAAGTAAAATGTTAACTATCCGTATTATATTCATTTCAGATGAATAGTGTCAGAAAATGTAAAATAAGAAACCAAAGTATATCAGTAGGTGATTCTCTTTGCCATTGTTTTCATCTAGTCTATACTTTTACAACAATTAAATTCTTGGTTTTGGTGGGCCACCCCAAGATTTTCAGTGGCCCCATTTGGCCACCCCTATGAAAAATTTCTGGAGGCGCCACTGGTATTACAATGCCGTTATGTGATGACTTTCAAAGAGAAAAGCAAGCACACTCGGAATAAAGTATTATTTTATTTTAAAAAAATGTTTTCGGTCTGTTTCCGGTATTTGTTAATGACGATGTGCTGTGAGATGTGAGACTGGAATTGCACAGGGGAAAATAACGTAGGCTATCTTTAGATGCGGATTTTGTTAAACTAATATGTTTGCGCTGTGGACTAACACTATACATTGACGGGGAAGGGGGTAGCAATGAAGATAACACCATTAAACAGTTACACAACATAACAGAAATAATATCGATAGCAGCGTCCCTAGCAACCACCTTGGTAACAATGAAAACGTTCTATGGACGCAATTTCCTGAAGTAATCTTCGTAATAACTAGCAAACTAAAGATCATGTACATCCACTGCACACATAATCTGAAATAACAACTCATATTTCTCGCATCAAATGACATCAAAACGCATTTTAAAGCCAAACTAACTTTAAAATAGGCATTTTCCATCGAGAATAAAACGAAGTTCGGCCATGTTTTTTTTTTCTGCAGCGAGAAATTTGAAGATCACGTGACATAGACGCCAGCCATTGGAATGAATGGTGGAAAAAAAACGGGGTTTGTCAAACAGAGCACATGGTGTAGTCCAAACGATAGCTGGGGATTCTGGGTAGTGTAGTGTCTTCTGCCATCCTTTATATTTGTTTCTCCGAATCGAAGGGGAACAATACAAAAGCATTGCACACAATTTAAACCAATCAATGTTGTGTAATTAACAAGGATAATCTGCTGTTTTTTAGTCGATGAGTAGTGCAGATATCACTGTAAAATCAATCGACAGAGATGTCCCTTTCACACCAGCGCTTTTTCAGCTCCGGCTCGGAGCTGGAGCCTGAAAAGCGCCGGGTTTTCCTGTTCACACCGCAACGGCGCCGGCTCTTAGCTCCGGAATCCGGTTCACTTCCAGCTCCAAAAAATTGTCGGTCAAGAGGCAAGAGCTTCGGAGCTAAGAGGTGGCGTCGCTTACGTCTCTCTTACGTCGAGGCGTGCAGGAAACTAAACCCACCTCCCCTCAACATGGGTCGACTGTCATGCCTGCCTACAAGCAGTAGTGCTTATAAACACACTTTATAAAGTCAGGCAACACTAACCAGGCTTCGTGTGATTCTGTTTATTTGTACCTTACTTTGACCATCCGTTCATTGTTATTGATCATTGTGGAGAGAGGCAGACGTTTTGTTTTGTATTATAGCAGCTATCGGATGGAATCAATACATGGGCTGCACAGGTTGTCGTGTCCGACTATCACAAGTAGAATCATAATAAAAATACGCCGGTAAAATGTGCCTGTAGAAAACGGTTTATGCCACAATAGGATAGCAATAGCAAGTAGTCAGTTTAGCTTCGGTTGCTATGCTAACATCACCCATTTTATACCAGAGAAACTTTCATAACAGCGTTGTGATACCAAACAGCGTCAATTCAGACTGACACACATTCACTTAGGCTAAGGGGAACTGGGGATATGTATCAGCTGCTTGTGTGAGTCGGACAGTGAATACTTTAGAGCGGCCGCAGCAGTGTGAGCTAACGGAGGAGAATAAACTCCCGTGGAAGAGCAGCCAACACTGGAGCGGTCGGTAAATGCTGCAGAAACACATTAATAAACAATGAACCACGGCACTCTGGAGCAAAGCATAAGGTTGGAGAAGTCGTTATTCAATTTATTCTGGCTTCCTGTGATTAAAAGCAACACGATCATCGACCCGACGCAGTTCCCCGTTGTTGTGAGCGCCGTAATGCCGTTGGGGAGCAAATCAGCGATGTAAACGGTGACGTCATGACGCAGCAGCGGCAGCACCAGTCGGGTGCTGGGCGGTGTGAACAGAGTGGGAGCAGAAAAGGGAAACCGGAGCTGAACCAGAAAAGCTCTAGCTCGGAGCTAGAAAGGGAAAAGCGCTGGTGTGAAAGCCGCATAAGAGGAATACTTACTTCCGGGTGTACAATTCTCCGTTATCCAATGAGAATGGACGTTCACATTGCCTTTAAGGGCAGCCGACACAAACGAATGCCGTGCTTCCATGAGCGTCAAATCCTGCCGCAGATGGGAATACATTGCAATCAGTTTGAAAGCTATTTGCGTCCCTTTATGAAGCTGAAGGAGCCTAGGAGCGTCACAACTGGACGCCACGGACACTGACCAAACGTCGCTCCTGGACGATTATGGATGTGAGAGGTTGTTGCCGCTGGCATATGACGGTTTTGTGTGCCCTCCCATGAAAATCATATCTCCCTCTCTGTAGATTTGTTCTGGCGCCGGGTCTGCCTCAGGATTTATCAGGAAGTGTTAAAGTTAAAAAAATATCCCTGTGACTGGTAGACAATTACATCATCAGATTATTTATTTATTTATTGATAATGTAAAGGTGATCATGTGAGCAGGGAGCATGTGCTACAGCCAGAAATGTACATTATTAAAACAATTAGGAAATCACAAAAACATTTTTAACATGAACGCTGCTTGTTCACGGCGCCATCTGTTTTATCTTTGGTCCCTTTCTTCTTAAAACCCTATCGCTGCAAAGAGGACAAATGCATCAGTTAGCCAAAACAACAACAAATGGAATACTAAGATCACTGAAATCATCCTCCTGTTTAAAGAGACCTCTGATCTTTATCTACAGTACTGACCTTTGAGCTGAGCCTCACCGATTCTCTTCCATATGACGTCTCCGTCCCTTTCAACGGTGCATGTGTATACACCGCTGTCTCCATGATGGGGATTAATCAGCATCAGACTGAGATATCCAGCTTGCAGGGGGTTTTTCATCATCTGTGTGCAGCCTCTGTAAGAGTTGTCTTGGCCATTCTGATGCACATGGACTGTCCAGGAATTGGATAACTTGAAACGTTTCCATCTTACCGTCGCATCAGCAGGCAGTCGAGATCTGGTTTTGAAGGGCAGTGTGACACATTTAGCCCAATCCACGACCTCCACCACCTCCTCGGGGACTACAAGGGAAAACAGACCCTCAATTTACAAACAGCATCATTGGTGATATCATCTGATTTCATATCATTTGAGTCCATTAAATGGATAAATGGCTAATGGCTATCAGTGGTTATTAATGTCCTAGATAAGGGTGAGAATGAGCCGTTACAGAATGTGTTGTAGTGTATGTATGCTAGTGCTGTAGCGACGCGTCGACTTCAAAATATCGTCGACGACATATTTCCGCGTCGACGCGTCGCCACCATAGACTGTATATATGGTCGCCACACACACGTGGGTCACCCAAAGCAACAAGCAGTTCGCAATCGCACTTCTAACACAATGGAGACTGAAACGGCTACCACCTCCTCCTCACAGGATTGCGCACGAAGCCCTCAAACGAAAACATCTCGCCCCAGGTCTTCAAAAGCATGGGAATATTTTAAAGTTAGTCCAAAACGCAAAGATATTTATATATTTATATCTCACTGAGACTGCTGCTTGACCGGAAGCAGCAGCTAGCTGTGGTGGCAACCATTAGCAGCTAGCATTTGCTCTCCGATTTTTACATTAAAATGGAATTATGGATTATAAATTCAATAATTTTTTTATACATGGACGTTAAAAACCTATGGATTAACCGATTCAGCCGCGTTTTTTCTCATTTTAATGCCATTGAACACGTATTTTGATCAGATTGACAGCTACGGCGGTGAGACGATCTCCCTAGAAGCTCTGTGAAGGTACGTGTTGTGATGACTGTATTTGCTTCCCCTGTCGCGAGTCCGGATCACTCAGTGATGATACTATATACCTACATAATCTGTGGAGTCTCAGCTTTAATCGGATATCTTGTATGTGCAGCTACGATAAGTAATAAGGGTACTTTTATCTTGAGTTCTGTGCCAATGTCCGTTAGCATTTTTCGCTCAGGGGTCATTTAGATAACATTTTAGTTTGCTTCTTATGAGACTTGTGTTTTGTTTTGTGTTGGTATACATGGTTTGTATCGTCAGTTAGCTGAGATTATTTCCGTTAATCTGGTATAACACATTAATAGGTTTTTAAATATTAAGATCCCCTGAGACAACAGTATCGTGAAAACATTTTTTTTTTACATTACGTTTTTTATGAATTGAACAATAGAAAAATAATCGTTCGATTAGTCGACTAATCGATCAAATAATCGCCCGATTAATCGTTTTCAAAATAATCGTTTCCCCCCAGCACTAATGTATGCAAGTAGGAATGTCTATTTAAAATGTAACCATGATAATCAACCTAATTCTTAACGCCTAGTTTTGGTGATAGATCTTAAACTGAAACCAAACAGGATTAAAACTCTTTGGGAAGGGGAGTCGAGGTGTATTATGGGGCGGTGCGGCCATTTTGGAGGATAGAGTCTAGCAAATGCAGCAGCAGTCAATATTTATCAGCTTTTTATCATCCTTAATGAATAAACTACATGCGAAAGACAAATGTATTTACAAAGAGAAGCTCTTCGCTGAAGCAGAAGAGTATTATTAATATTATTTAATCAATGAATGAAGCGCCTATGGCTGTGGGATTGGCTGTTACAGCAAACACGATAGTTCTTACCGTCCAAGTTAAAGAAGTTGAAGTAAAACAGGTTCATGCTAATTCACTGTAGGCATACGGGTCAGTCAACAGGTTCCTTTAAAGATGGCCGACTTGCTGTTTATGAAGTTACATTCTCTATAACATGCTAGCAGCTGTAGTCTACACTGTCTGGTATCTAAAATACTGACCATTGACTCGGAGCCGTACTACTTTCTGCGTCCAGACTGCTCTGTCCTTGTGGACGGTGCAGATGTAGGTTCCACTGTCTCTGTAGCAGGGGTCGCTGAGGGTCAGACTGAGGTCTTTGGTTTTCAGTGGCTCTTCCTGCATCTTTGTGCGATTGCAATAAAACTCATCCTGTCTAATAAGATCGTTGTTGCTGTTACAATATTTGTGGACCCTCATTGGCTCGGGGGCGCAACGACTCCACTCCACGGTGACGTCTTCAGGCAGAGGGACTATGGTTTTGTAGGGAAGTTTTACAAAGCACACTCCCTCTTTCACCACTACAGAAGAGACTGAGAGGACAACAAACCACAGCATCAGCAGCACGAACACACAAACTGTGATCTTAACAGGTCCTGTGACAACATACTACATATCTGTGATGGTTTTGTGCCAACCCAAGGCAGCTACAGCCAGAGCAAGGCAAACAGCCAGCATAGGATATAACCAAGGAGGGAATATGGGCCGTTCTGTTGGCAACATAATCAACAACATGACTTTCTCTTACTGTACACCAAACAGCAACAATATTATACGTATAAACCTCTTTTTTTGTATTCTAATAAAGTAATAAGTAGAGAAGGGGATTAGGGTTTTTTCCTTACCTGTAACCTGCAGGCGCACAATTAGCCTTAACATTTCCTTTTCCTTGTTATGGACGTTGCGTGGAAACAGTACCGAAGGAGTGGCAGACCGGGGTGGTGGTTCCCCTTTTTAAAAAGGGGGATCAGAGGGTGTGTGCCAATTACAGAGGCATCCAGAGGCCATGGTTCTCAGCAGGAAACCGATGGACTGTCCACTTCAAGTAGGGAATGAGTCCTTACCCCAAGTGAAGGAGTTCAAGTATCTCGGGGTCTTGTTCTCGAGTGAGGGAACAATGGAGCGTGAGATGGGCCGGAGAATCGGAGCAGCGGGAGCGGTACTGCAGTCGCTTTACCGCACCGTTGTGACGAAAAGGGAGCTGAGCCAGAAGGCAAAGCTCTCTGTCTACCGGGCCATTTTCGTTCCTACCCTCACCTATGGTCATGAAGGATGGGTCATGACCGAAAGAACGAGATTGCGGATACAAGCGGCCGAGATGGGTTTTCTCGCGCAGGGTGGCTGGTGTCTCCCTTAGGGATAAGGTGAGAAGTTTCGGTCATCAGGGAGGGACTCGGAGTTGAGCCGCTCCTCCTTCGCGTCGAAAGGAGCCAGTTGAGGTGGTTCGGGCACCTAGTTAGGATGCCACCTGGGCGCCTCCCTAGGGAGGTGTTCCAGGCACGTCCAGCTGGGAAGAGACCAAGGGGTAGACCTAGGACCAGGTGGAGGGATTATATCTCTTCGCTGGCCTGGGAGCGCCTTGGGATCCCCCAGTCAGAGCTGGTTGATGTCGCCAGGGAAATGAAAGTTTGGGGCTCTCTGCTGGAACTGCTACCCCCGCGACCCGACCACGGATAAGCGGGAGAAGATGGATGGATGGATGGATGTTATGGACGTGGCAGGTGTAGACGCCGCTGTCAGAGAGTTGTGGTTCTTTCAGAGTGAGGCTGAAGTCTCCAGTTATCAGAGCATAAGTTGGCGTAGATGTTCGGCCGCTGTAATGCTGGTTTTGAAAACGGGGCTCCTTTTCGTCAAGATGCTGGTGGACGGCTGAGGGATTAAAACCGATGCGACTCCACACCACTGTTGTGTCCTTACTAAGAAACCAGGATGACTGGCAGGGCAGCTGGACAGACTTCACCCCCTCATACACTCCAATGGTTGAGTTATGTTGGAGAACTGGGAGGACACACAAAATGATGTCTCAAATATTGATGTCAAACCTCCTCAAACCCCCCAGGACCAAGCTCCGTACTATGGGAGACCGGGCCTTCTGCTCGGCTGCTCCCAGTCTGTGGAACGCTCTCCCCGACCACATGAGAGCACCACAGACCGTGGATGCTTTTAAAAAAGGCCTCAAAACCCATCTTTTCAATAGAGCCTTTTCCTAGACCTTTTATTTGTTACTACCCTTTTATTTATTTGTATTGCTTGTTTTTACTGCTTTTTATTCATTCTACCAGGTTGTGTACTGTTTCTATATTGCTCACTGCTTGTAGCACTTCGGGATTTGAACTCAAATATGAAGTGCGTTATAAATGAAACCCATTATTATTATTATTATTATTATTATTATGATGTATATATTATCAAAAATAACTTCTTTGCACGTCAAAAACATACAACCATTAAATGCACAAATACCTACAAATATATGCGTAGACATGTTTACAAACTTAAAAGGATATATAACTGGCGTTCAGAGCATTAGTGTAGAAGCAAACAATTAATGTAAAGGCCAACGGGCAGCATGTGTGACAGGCTGGAGGCTGTCGGAGGGGCTGGGGTGAAAACAATTAAAGGACACCAGCTGCACGTGGTAGGGCACCAAGCTTTCTAGCATGTAGGACAGCCTGAATTATACTGCATTAATGCCACCTTAGAGAGAATTGTATCATGTTTTCCACACTAAATGTTTCCCTAAAGGGCACTCTATTATGTTTTATCCACTGGAAGGGCACTTTATACCCTTTTCTCTACGAGTAGGGCACCGTAGAAGACCCTTTATTGGGTTTTCTCTCCTGGATGGGTACCCTACATGGTACTGGTTTTCTCCACTAATAGGGAATCCTAGAGGACACTTCATTATGTTTTCTTCACTATTAGGCGTTAGGAGGAGCTTTATCACGTTTTCTTTGCTGAAAGGACATCCTAGAAAGCATGTTATAATGTTTTCTCCACTTACCCCCAACCTGCATGT